TGTGTGCCCTCAAGAACGCTTTGCTTATTATAAGAGACCGTTCCAGTCTGTCCTTTGGTATAAAAAGGATTAGGCTACCTTGCTACACTTTATTTACCATTATTGTTACTTGTCTGTTGCAAATTATCTTATTATCAAACTACGTGTTACCCACAATTCAGTGCTTGCAGAAATTACCTTGCTGGAAACCGCTTGTCATTTCCTTCTGCTCCTCATTAGGTTCGACACTCTTACTTATCGAAAGGACTATGATTGATCCCATACTTGTGGGTCATCAATGCCACACAGTGGGGACAGTGGTGAAGATTCAGAAGTGGTAGAGCTTAGAAGGCATGCAAGAAAATTCAAGAAAAGGATGAGAGAAACAAAATGTTGGATTGGGAGAGATACAACTGAAGCAGTTCTAATAAATTTGATTGCAAATATGGAGGAGCAGCTAGAGGGAGAGGAGAAGGACTGGAACTGTGATTCATCTGATGAGGATTACTCCTATGGTGAGGATTCTGATGGAGAGGCAGAGAGGATGAAGAGCCAATTTCCTAGATTCAATAATGACACTGAAATTCCAAACTTCCAGTTGTCAATGGTCTTCAGAAGCAAGAACCAACTTGTCAAAGCATTGAAGAGATATGTGCTAGTGAAAAAAAGAAGCATCGTGTTCAAAAAATTAGAGATAGATAGAGTTAGAGACAAGTGTGGATGGCCTGGATGCCCTTGGTTGATATATGTAGCAAAAACCAGCAGGACAAGCAGATTCCAAGTCATCACATATAATGATGAACATCATTGTGCCCAAAACAGAGAGAATAGGCTAGTGACTGCAAATGTTATTGCTCAGAGGTATGAGCACTTCATTCTTGCAAATCCAATGTTGAAGATAGAGAGTATGAAAGCTACAATATTGCAAGATATGTTTGTAGATGTGTCCACCTCAAAGTGCAAGCATGCAAAGAAACCTGTGATGGACAAATTGCTATCTGGCTTGAAGAATGAAGATAACAGAGTGTTTGATTGCCAGCTTGAGCTTCTTAGAAGTAATCCTGGAAGTACAGTAGCAATTTGTTTGGATCCAACTAACTTGGAGCACAATATATTTCAAAGCTTTTATGTTTGCTTTAACGCATTGAAGCAAGGATTCAAAGCTGGCTGCAGGAAAGTGATAGGATTAGATGGTTGCTTCTTTAAAGGAGCTGTGAAGGGTGAGCTGTTGTGTGCTATATCTAGGGATGCAAATAATCAAATGTATCCAATGGCTTGGGCAGTAGTTGAGCAGGAAACAAATGAGACATGGAAATGGTTTATTGGCTTTCTCATTAAAATTTAGACATTAACAACAATGGAGATGGCTGAGCGTTCATATATGATCAACAAAACGGAATTCTTAATGCCATGACTGACTATCTTCCAAAATCAGAGCACATGATGTGTGCTAGGCATATCTATGCCAACTAGAGGAAGAAACACAGGGCATGGAGTGACAAAGAATTTTTGGGCAGTTGCCAAAGCAGCAAACATCCAAGATTTCAATTATTATAAAGCCAAGCTTGCACAAGAAACACCAGAGGGTGTAAAAGATATCATGAGAACAGAACCAGTACACTGGGCAAGGGCATATTTTTCAGTTGGTCCCAACTGTGAGTCAGTGGATAGCAACTTGTGTGAATCTTTCAATCATGCAATTGTTGATGCAAGGTTTTATCCATTAATTTCCATGCTAGAGAAAATAAGGAAGAAAATATTTGCTAGAATTCAAGAATAGAGGACCAAAGGTGTGAAGTTTCATGAAAAAATATGCCCTAGAATATTTAAAAAGTTGAAAGCCAGCATAGCAAGAACACGGTTCATGGAGGTCCTTTGGAATGGCAAAGATAGGTTTGAAGTGAGACTAGTAACTGGGAGAAGAAGGCAATACACTGCAAGTCTTGAAAAAAGAACTTGTTCATGTGGTTATCTCCAACTTTCAGGTCTTCCTTGCTCTCATGCCATAACAACAATATACTAGTGCTGGAAACAAGTGGAAGACTACATTGATCCTTGCTATAGCATTGGCACATTCAACAAAATTTATGAGCATAACCTGTGGAAGGTGAGGAGATGTGGCCTATTTTTGAAAAACCTAGGCCACAAGCTCCTGTCAACATGTGAAGCAAATAACTGGTTGCACATGTGCATGTGTTTGACAATATCATGCTCCTGTCAACATGTGAAGCAAAAATCTGGTTGCACATGTGCATATGTTTGACAATATCATCCTCATTATTCAACATATCAAGCAACAAGATCTATTTCATGATTTAACCAACAAGATAAATGCACAAACTGGATGATAATGCTAGAATGGCCACATATTTCATTACTAGGATGAACAAGACCAAATCTTTCCTTACAAGGACAACACATCTTTTATTAGAAAGTTCCAGCAACACCTGACACTAACCAACCATTGTTCATACTAGGATCAACCTGACCACATCTTCACTGCCCTACAATTTTCCCTAGCACAAAACCTAGCACAAAGACGCCAAACACAACCAGAACTGTCATATATCTGGTCTTCACTGCATCAATCTCTGCATTTTTTCTTTCAACTATTCTTGCAGAGCCATAACCACATTTTCAGTTATTGTTTGCTCTTCAAATGCATCTTTAGTCCTAGCACCCTTCAGTCTCCAAACTTCATCTCTTAAATCTCCAATCAAATTAGAAAAATAGTTAGTCAGTGGATCATCATGTCATTCAACATACCCACAACCACCATGCTAACCAATGAGCACAAATGAATCAGATTTATTGAGAGAAGAAAGGAAGAAATGAGCCACTGGAAGAAGAAACTGGGAGAAGCAAAATAGAGCTCACCAGCGCACGGATGCAGGCATAGTACCTCCTGCCGGGGTTTTGCCGGCTCCACGATATCCACCTTAGTGCCTTCCTTGGCGGATCGTAGTGGCAGAACTTCGGCGGCTCGTCCGCCATGGCGCCCTTGCGGTATGCAACCAGCGTCCTCGACTCAACCTCCCTCCTTCCGCTAGCTCGACGGAATCCGGGAGCGAAAGATGCCCCTAAGTACCCCGACATCACACGCCGTCGCCGCCGCCGCAGTGCACCATGCTCAGATCGCGCCTCGTTGCCTCTGTCGCCGCCCTAAACCTAACGCTCAGATTCCCCAATCCCTTTCTGTAAACAAAACCGCGGTCCATCGGTCAACACAACCTCTTCGTGGCCCACCAGTCAGTATCATGGTGAAATCCCTGTCACGTCAGTTTATTTGCTTTAAAATGGTGTCAGGGTTTAGTTTAGATCGGGATTAATGAATTGAGTGTGCTGATTTCGGGGATTGAAAATTCAGGGTTCGATTTAGCTTTTCTCTACGGAAATGTTTGGGGCTGGGGCGCCGGCCGAACGCTCGGCCGGTCACTCCCAAGTCGTTCGCGCGCTCGCTTCACGCGTCCATCGATGCCGCATACATGGGGGAGACATGGCTGTGGGGCCACCCACCGCTCACAGCCACACCTGCCTTATCCCATCACAGCCACCCAGCGCTCACCCACACCTGCCTTATCCCCTCGATCTCCTTCTTCTGTCCTCCACCAACAAGACACAGACTCCATTTTTGCCCCCAAAAACTCAAAGTTAAGCACCACCCCACCTCACACACTAGCCATGGCCGTACATCGTTGTGTTTTGATTCCATCCAGCTCTCAGCCACCCCGTTCCTCGTGGCCGGCCAGCAACCTCCTCAGCTCTTCTTTTCCCATCTGGTGTGATGCTGGGACAATGGGTGCCCACAAATGTTGTGACCGTAGTCAACGTTTGCTGGAACTAGCCTGTAGATTTGCTACCATCGGCGGTCATCAATTTTTTCGCTCGACCCCAACATCGGCGTTTAGCTACGACTTGGGCAGCACCTTGCTGGAACTAGCGTCGTCATTTGCTACAACTGGCCAGGCGGCGTGCTGGAAGTAGTGTTCATCGGTGCTGGAACAGGATGAGCCCCTTGCCGTCGACAATTTTTTTTGCTGGAACCTGCTAGTTTGTTTGCTAAAATCTTTTTCTTTGGAGTTTGCTAATGTGACTTTTGTTGCATTTGGTGTTAATTTTAGCTGGAACTGACTTTTTTTTGCTTCAACTGACAATTAGAAGATTTTGCTACTGAGATTTTTTTGCTGGATCAGTCGCTTTTGTTTTGTTACAACTAATGTTTTTTTTAGCTGGAACCGACTAAATGTTTTGCTTCAACTGAACATTTTGGTTTTTGCTACAGAGGTTTTTGCTGGAGCACGGCTATGCTAGTGATGGTGCGGCGAGCCGGAGCTAGTGGTGGGCGAGTTCTTGTTACAACCATGGCTGCGGTGCACTGGAACCGGTTAACAGTTGAAGCTTTGCACACAACATATGACCGTGCTGCAACCCCGGCGTCCGTGAGAAGAGGGACAACAAGCTGGCAGCGGCGCTGGTGCTGCTGGGGCCGACGACGCTGACGACCGCCGAATCTAGCGAAGGAGCAGCCCGACAGAGGAGGCGTGGTGTGGGGCGGCGATTGCACAGTGTCGGGGGGTTGGGAAGTTGGGGACGAAGAAGAGGATCAGATCTGACGGTTACGCATAAAAAAAATCAAACGGACAGGGTGCGACCGACCCAAATTTGGGCCGGTGCACCGGGGCCTAATAGTCGCCTTTCTCTACGAGTTCAGGGTTTGCACCCGATCCGCTTTCTCTGTTGTATAGTGGCGATCGATCCCCTTCCCCACCTACTACTCTTCTTCCCCCCTCATCCCGGTCCCCTTTCTCCCTTGTGGCGATCGATCCCCTTCCCCTAGGGTTCTGGCCATCACATCCACTCCTCAACCGCCCGGGGAGCCAAGATCAGCTCCTCGACCACAGGAGGAACCAAGCCCCGATCCTCTACCGCTGGAGGGACCAAACCCCGCTCCTCCACTGCGGACGGGAACGAGTTCCCCAGCGAGGACGACAGTAGCGAGCTCCACCCCAGGACTGGTGGCCATGACGAGGGAGCGAAGTACTGGCAAGAAGCGGTCAGGGACCAAGCGGAACCAGGGCGGCAGCAGAGGGAACGAGGAGGAGAAGCCCGTGCCTGGGGCGAAGGAGGAGAAGCTGCCACCGAAGCTGTCCACCGACGCTCGGTTTCCAGGGGACAAGGGAGAGATCAGGGCCATGGAGGGGAAGAAGCCAACGCCGCAGATGGTGTTCATGGCAGAGAAGGAGGAGACAGTAAACAACGAATCAGGGGTTTGGAAGAGAAATCAGTCTACGGATGTGGCGTCTCCTGGGGACAGCGGCGGAATCACGAGGAGAGATGGCAAGGGGGTGAAGGAGAAAAAGCCGGCAGCAAAGACTCACAACAACGACAGCAGAGCGAAGCGGCACCAGGGC